TCGGTGGCTAAGACGCTGAGCTTGTCGATCAGAAAGGTCGCCAGCTCGGCGGTTCGAATCCTTAGAGCCACGTAACCGAGTGAGCTCCCGTTACTTGTCCCAGCTTCTGCCAACCTAGCAGTTCAAAAGCATGTAAAAATGCAAGTAGAAAAATAGGGAACCACCTTTGGTGGGAAAGTAAAAGTGTTCGGTGCACCTTTGCCGTTTTAGTCATGGCGGCCAAATGACCACCGAGACTTTTTCCGACAGCACTGGTTCTTCGGCTTAGAAATGGAGATGAACACCACCCCCTAGAGTTGGTAATGACTAGCATCCATCTTCAAGGGGAACCTTTATCTTTACTATAGTTTTCCATGCTTTCACTGGATCATAAGAAGCAATCAATCACAGTTTGTGGGGAGGAGAACTCTAACTTGATGACGTGATGACGTGATGATGATGATGATGATGATGATGATGATGATGATGATGACGTGATGATGATGATGATGATGATGATGATGATGATGATGATGATGATGATTTAGGATCAACCAAAAGAAGACAACACAAAAAGCTTCTGGTTCTCCCAAATCTACTAGTTCAGATTTTATTAAAAAGAAACAGATAGAGTAAGGTTTTTGACGTTGCTTCTCTGAAGAATGAGTGCTGAGAATCATTTTGGTTAGGTTGGTTATTATGTAGTACTAATACAGGGATCACCCAGCTGTGAATTAGATTTTTCCGCCCTCTCGGGAGGAAGGAAGTAGAGAATGGAGGGACGAAGGAAAGGAAAGGAGTGGAGGGTAGANTGTTACCTTCCCACCAAAGGTGGTTCCTATTGTTCTACTTGCATTTTCTAACATGCTTTCGAACTGCTAGGTTGGCAGAAGCTGGGACAAGTAACGGGAGCTCACTCCATTATGCGGCGCTAGGGATTCGAACCGCCGAGCTGCCAACCTTTCCGATTGGCAAGGTCAGCGTCTTAGCCACTGAGCCACCACTTCCTTTGCAGATCTATGCTATTCTCCTTTAATTTTGTTTGGTGGCAAAACACGCATTCAATTCAACGTTGAAAAACGTGAGGTAGCCTTGGTCCTTGCACTTACAGCCAGTGCAGCATCCTCATGGTTACACAACCAAAATTTGAGTTCATAGCAAGTGACATATACTTATGATAGTTGCAGCATCCCAGGGTCACATGATTGTTATTTGCGACCTTCCCAACTGGCTTTTGACAAGCAAAGTCAATGGGGGAAGCCAGATTTGCTTAAGGAGTGCGTGATTCATTTAACAACTGTGATTCACTTAGCTGTGGCAAAAAAAAAAAAAAAGTTGTAAAATCAGGTGTGACTCACTTCACAATCACCTAGTTTAGCAATGGAAATCCTGGTTCCAATTGTGGTTGTAAGTCAAGGGTTACCTGCAATAATATTATCTTTATTTCTCACTAATAACAATAATAACTTTATTTCCCCCTTAGTTCAAATGAACACTGAAAAACATGTTTATCTGTTTGGAAAAGTAAAGTAACTGGAGAAAAAGCTCTCACTCCCACACGCAGATGTGATTTGTTTACAGCTGGATTTTTGTGTTGGTGAACACAGTTGGATTGTACGGATATAACTCAAGTGAAAACCATGGAAAAGACAGAAGGATATGAATATATTGGCTGAGGTTCTAGATCCCTTGAGGAGGGTCACATTTCTAAGATAAGGGTCCCACAAATCCTTTGATGACAGGTAGTGGTTGAGTAAGAGGTCCCAGGCCAGGATGAAAAGCAAAACTAATTTTTATCTCATGTGTGTTGTGATTAAAATTAAATCTAATTAATATTATTCTCGTGTCCTGCTTCTCACCCCCGACTTTCAAGAGACTGAGGTAAAGCTACACCAGTTTAATATCTACCTGCTCTATGCTTGATGAAGGCAACCAATCTCTACACATGAGAAGCCAGGCAGACAATGCTGCAGTGAATCTCACCTCACTAACTTCTTAAGAAACTGGCCTCTATTTGCCCCATATTTATTTGTTTGTTTGTTTGTTTGTTTGTTTGTCTGTCTTGTATGCCACCCACTCCCGGAGGACTCCGGGCGGCTCACAAAAGACAAGGGAAAGGGGGGAAAACGAGACAAAGACAACATATTAAAAATAAAACCAACATTCACAATTTCCGTGGAGGTAGATGNATGGGCGGCAAGCCACTCCCATCCGGTCACATGGGCGGCAAGCCACTCCCACAAAGTACGCCATACCCACAGAATAGGTTCAAACAATTTTTGAAACCCACCACTGAAATGAATGCTGGAAACAACTAGCATTCCTGTTAAGGTATCTGAAACCACAGCAGAGGATAGCTGAAAAATCTTTATCTGGTTCTCTCCAGTGATTGGGAACACTGGTTGGAAGCTCATCATAGGCCACATTCATGATGAAGCCAGTGAACTAGCAACATGTCTATAGAGATTCTCAGTCATTGAGATCATGATTACATATTTTTCGGAGTATAAGACGCTCCGAAGTATAAGACAAGGTTCTGAAGAGGAAATTTTTTTAAAAAAAATTTGCACTCTGCAAACCCCCCCAAAATGGCCTGTTTTTAGCAAAAACAGGAGGGTTTTTTTTCACCAAAAGGGACATGAATAGCCCTTAGGAGGTTTGTAGAGTGCTCCTGTAAGGGGGGGAACAAGCAAGAAACATCCTGTTTTACTCAAAAATGGGCCCTTTTTTGTCACAAAAAGGGCATGGATAGCCTTTAGGAAGCTTATAGAGTGCTGCTCAGGGCTGGGGGAGGCAAAAAGGGCTGTTTTTTGCTCATTTCTGCCCTCCCCAGCACCAAGGAGCTCTCTAAGAGCTTCCTAGAGGCTATGCCTCTAGGAGGCAAAAAATGCTGTATTTGGGAGGCAAAAAATGCTGTATTCAGTGTATAAGACGCAGCCAGATTTTCAGCCTCTTTTTTGAGGGAAAAAGGTGTGTCTTATACTCTAAAAAAATACGGTATCTCAAAGATGCTTTTAGAAAAGGGAACTGGAATTCCTTGAAGATGTTTCGCTACTCATCCAAGAAGCTTCTTCTAGAACTGAATGGATGGATAAAAATTGCTGCTGGTTCACCCAAAGGTGCTTTTTCAAAAGGCAACTGGACTTCGTTTTTCCTTGAAGACGTTTCACTTCTCGTCCAAGAAGACTTTTTCTAGAATTGAAGAAGCTTTTTGGATGAGAAGCAAAATGTCTTCAAGGAAAAACCAGAAGTCCAGTTGCCTTTTGAAAAAGCACCTTTGGGTGATCTAGCAACAATTTACATCCATCCATCTCTTGTCCCCAAACTTGGGTTCTTGCTTAGTGTCGACGCCAATAAGTCACGGGAGAAAAGGTGTGATACAGAATTATACTTTTATTTTGATACCAAGATATAAGGACCCTGGTTTGAAAAGCTAACCAAGGGCCAAGATTAGGATCTTATAGCAGTTTTTATAGTCAAGGGATGGTCACATTCAACCCTTTGCCCTTCCCCTAATAATGCATTGCATAACAGATAATATTGATTGGTTATTTGGATTTCAGCCCCGCCTAAACCCTTATGCTTATTATGTTAAATATCTAAATGTCAGTCATCTGTTTTTCATTCCAGGTCATGGGTATCTTGCAAATGTGCCAGCTATGTGGGTTTTGGGGTTTTTCTTATAAGCGAGCTACTCTTGTTCCTAATATCCTGGCTAGTGGTTTTAAGGTGCTAACTTCTGCCTCGCTGTAAATGTGCAGCCCCCCCCCCCTCCTAAAGCAGAGCAGAATAAAAGTTTTATCTGAGGCAGCTCCCCTGCGACACCCCCTCTTCTGCAGAGAAAAGTAAAAGCTGTTTAAAACTTTTGTTTGAGGTAGCAACCACCCCACCACTGCCTCCCCTCCTCTCTTCAGTGAGAGACACACACGAAAGGAGCAAAGCTATTGATTGTCAAGGCAAAGAAATGAAGACAAGAGAAATTTTTTTAATCAAAATTCATATTCCTCACTCTTATGTCTATTCCATCCACACCTGGGTCCTATCGCCACATATGACCTTTCCTCTGATCCCAAGGGCCTCATCGGTATATACATTCCATCATCTGATCCATCCATCCATCCATGTTATATGAGAAGTTGGGATCCTTATCATCAGGAGCTTGGCCATCTGTCAACTTCTAATCCTCCCCCCACCACACACACAGAGTGTTCAGAAAAAAAATAGAGTAAAATCCACAGTGCTCAGAATACGTAGAATAGGGAAGAGACTTATTCCTAACTCCCCAGAGTACTTCAGAAGTTGTTCTCTAGGCTTCTACCTGTGTATCCCAAGGCCAGAAGAGAGAATTGATCCACCGATCTGATTTTGTTCTACATTGACTGATTTGGTTAAATAACTATCCCAACAACATTGGATATCCATCCAATGCTACTTTAGGGTAGGTGACCCCATCTTTGAAACAACAGGCTTTCTGTGTTTCCATAACATGTCTCTCCTTTATATTAGCTAGATAAATATGTTGTGGAAACCAAAACAAAGTCTGATATATCCCAGAAGGTTTTAAGACGGTCCAGGAGGGATTGTGGCTTCTCAGTCCTCTTGCAAACACTAATTAGCCAGCTTTCTACATATGGGCTCTGCAGCTGAGAAATAAGAAACTAGAATGTCCGTAGTTAGACTTTCTTAACCAAGAGGAACATATGTGAGACACGGACTGTCTAGGAATAAGGACCTTTCATAACCAACTGGGAGACAGAGTTAACAAAATAACAGTTAGAAGGGACCTTGGAGGGCTTCTAGTCCAACCCGCTGCTCAAGCAGGAAACCCTATATCATTTTAGACAAATGGTTATCCAATCTCTTCTTTAAAAACTCCAGTGTTGGAACACCCACGACTTCTGGAGGCAAGTTGTTCCACTAATTAATTCACCCCTGATTGTGGCATTATTTCCACAAAGAATCCTTATTCCTCCTTTTACAGGTTTGATCCACTTTGCGGGAGCTGGGAGCGACTAGCCGACATGACCAATTGCCGGAGTTATTTCCCTGCAGTTTTCCTGCATGGTTTCTTCTACGCCCTTGGGGGCAGCTCCAATGAGGTCTATTGCCTGGATTCTGTGGAGTGCTATGAACCTCAGAGCAACACATGGAGGTAGGAGGTTGTGGAGACTTCAGTAGAAGTGCTAGGCTGAGGTCTGGAGACTGTGCATTGCAAAGGATACAGGTAGTCCTCAACTTACAACCCTTCATTTAGTCAAGCGCCAGAGAATTCAGGAGATCCAGGAAGTTCAAATACCGTATTTTTTTGGAGTATAAGATGCACTCTTTTCCTCCCTAAAAGAGTGTGGAAATGTTGGTGCATCTTATACACCAAAAACAGCCATTTTTGGCCTCCTGAAACCCCACCCTCGCATCCCATTCTTTCCTCCCCGCCGCCCCCGAAGCACTCCGCAGGATTCAGCAGGGCTGGGGGAAGCGAAAAAAAATGCCCCCATTTTGGTGAAAATGAGCTCCATTTTTCCTTACTTACCTCTTCAAAATCTTGGTGTGTCTTACAGTCCGAAAAATACGGTAGGTATAAAGATTTATTGTAAGATTAAGCTCTCTACAAGAATCTCATCTACTAACAGTTAAAGCAATTTGGAGGTTAAAAAAAAGAATTAATGGCGGGATGGATTTAGAACTGGGAATGAAGGGATTCCTGACTGATGACACATTTGACTCCCCCTCCCTTTGTCATTTCCTATACCTTGAAAGGTGCAATAGGGCTGAAAAAAGTGACTTATGTTTCTTTTTCACATTTGCAACGGTTGCGCCATCTCCATGGTTACATGAGCACACTTGGCAATTGGATCATATTTATGACGGTTGCAGTAATCATGTGATTACCTTTGGCAACATTCTGACAAGCAAACCCAATGGGGAAATCCAGATTTACCTAACAACCGTATTACTAACAACCGTATTACTAAAACTGCAGTGATTCACTTCACAACTGTGGCAAGGAAGGTTGTAAAATGGGATGAAGTTCACTTAACAACTGATTTGCTAACAATGGAAATTTTGAGCTAAATTTTGGTCACAAGTCGAAGATTCCCTATAAACCTGAAGGGGCGTGATTTCAGAAGGCAACCCAAATATCTGTTTTTCATAAATAATTTGTTGGGTTTTGACAGGCTAGCTAAACATCACATTCTACACTCCTGCAAAGGAGTTTTACTTTCACGTCCCTAATTTTCCTTTACACGATAACTCAACCGTTAAACATGCCGGAAAGCTAGCAGCCTGGGTTTGAGACCCAAACACTGTGGAACAGGGTGAGTTCCCATTGCTCGCTCTAGCTCCTGCCCACCTAGCGTTTGAAAGCATACAAAAATTAGTACCATATTTTTCGGACTATAAGACGCACTGGAGTATAAGACACACCAAGATTTTGAAGAGCTAATTTTTTTTTAAAAAAAAAGGTTTTTACATTCTGCAGGCCTCCCAAACCCTCTGCAGACATTGCTTTTTGTGAAAAATGGGACATGCAGAGAGTTTGAGAGGCCTTTAAAGTGTTCCTGGGAGTTGGAGGAAGGGCAAAAAAGAGCAAATATTTTTTTTTTTGCAAAAATCGGCACATTTTTTGCAAAAATAAACCCAGGGCATGCATAGGCTTTGGGAGGCTTGTAGAGTGCTCCTGGGGGTTAGGGGTAGGGGGGCAAAAATGAGCAAAAAACAGGGTGTTTGTTGCTCATTTTTGCCCTCCCAAGCTCCCAGGAGCACTTTGCAGGCCTCCCAAACTCTCTTCACCTCCATTTTTGCGAAGTGGGTGGGGTTTGGGAAGGCCAAAAATGCTCTATTCCAGTGTTTTTCAACCTTGGCAACTTGAAGGTGTCCGGACTTCAACTCCCAGAATTCCCCAGCCAGCGAATTCTGGGAGTTGAAGTCCGGACACCTTCAAGTTGCCAAGGTTGAAAAACACTGCTCTATTCAGTGTAAAGACGCACCCAGATTTTCACCCACTTTGTGGGGGGGGGGGGGGGGGGGGGCCGGGGCTCCCTTCGGGGTATAAGATGCACCCAAATTTCCCCCCTCTTTTTTTTTGGGGGGGGGGGGGAAGTGCATCTTATACTCCAAATAATATGGTAGATTAATAGCTACACCTTTGCTAGGAAGGTAACCGTGTTCTACTTGCCTTTGGCATATAGCCACACTGGCCACATGACCACAGAAAATGTCTTCAGACAACGCAGGCTCCCTCAGCTAAGAAACGGGAATGAGCACCACACCCGCCAGTCGGACGCAACTTGAAAAGGAAACATTTACTTTTACTTTACTTTACCTTTATTTACTCCCACCCTTGTTTTTTTTTCAGGCCTTGCGCACCCTTGCCTACCCCAGTCTGTGGCCATGCAGCTTGTGTCCTGGACGGAGGGATCTATATTACGGGAGGCAGCGACGGCTCGTGCCGCTGTCAATCCTCCATGATTCGGTATCGTCCGGATGGCCCACCTCTCCTCCTGGCCTCCATGCAGGAAGAGCGTGCCGGGCACATCATGGAGGTGCTGGAGGGGCGGATCTACGTGGCCGGAGGTCTGCGATGGCGGGATGGGCATGGGGGCTATGCTGACCAACTGGCCTGCGAGGTGTACAGTCCTGATCAGGACGCGTGGGTCACCTTGTGTCCTCTTCCCCAACCTCATGTCATCGCTGCCTCTGCCGTCCTGAACGGAGAGCTGTATGTCCTAGGAGGGTACAGCCACAACACCTATCGAGATACGCATCTCATTCACTGTTACAACCCTTCTCACGACCGTTGGGTCAACCTGGGCACGATGCCCCAGGCTTACGCGGATCTAAAGGCCTGCATCTTAGAAGTGCCCTCCTCTTACAGACAAGGTGAACCATCAATCCCAGATGCCTCCGATTCAGAGGTCCCTCCTGATGCTTCTTCGCTGGATGTGCCCTACCAAAATTCTGGATCCAGCTGTTGAAAGGCTCAAGTGTAGCCTATTATTGCAGGTCCTGGATTTGCATGGACGGTCTTCCTTGGTTGATTTTGGGTTGCTTTATGGTGAGGATTAAACAAAGGGAGATGTGGCCTGTTTCATGTATGCTTTGAGTTCTTGGTGAAAAGTCAGTATAAATGCTAATGTTAACAAACGGGTGGTCCTCGACTTATAACCATTCGTCCATTCAAAGTTACAACCACAAAAAGGTGTGTTTTTTTGGTCAGGTCAACCTGGTCTAGCCAATTATGGAATGGAGCATATTGCTTCCCTTTAATTTGTTAATGGAATTAAATAATTATTAATAATTAATGTTAATAATAATATTAGGTAGCTTAATATATCTACCTAATATGCAAGTAGCCCAGGTTTGAATCCCAGAAGAGTATGGCTAGCTGAGGAGAGCTACATAACTTGAAATAGATCTATACTAAAAAGGTAAAGGTTCCCCTCATACATATGTGCTAGTTGTTCCTGACTCTAGAGGGCAGTGCTCATCTCTGATTCAAAGCCGAAGAGCCACCGCTGCCCAAAGACATCTCTATGGTCATGTGGCCGGCATGACTAAACGCCGAAGGCGCACGGAACGCTGTTACCTTCCCACCAAAGGTGGTTCCTATTGTTCTACTTGCATTTTCTA